TAAGAAGCCTTCACCTGAAGTGTTTCGAAGAGAAATACTTAGAAAATTGGACTGTTTCATATTTGGCCATATTGGTACACACTTGATGAGTTATCTTGGGAGTGGGATTAAAGTTTGAATCCAAATTTTATTCACAGTTCATATGCAGTCTAAATACACAATAGTTTTTCTACACATAAGATACACACAACCTGGCCATGATTTTGCACATATTCACTGACTGGGATTCAGCATGTCAGATCAGGTGAAAATCGTTCATGTCAGCACTTAAAGCCCCTGAGTGTGGAGTGTTTGGATTTCAGATTAGGTGTGAGGAGAAGCAAGGAACGTTGAAGCTATAGATCTGCACTGGTTACTCAATAAGTCATTTCCAATGCCTGTCCTCACAGGAGCACAAGTGTGTGTGTGTGTGTGTGTGTGTGTGTGTGTGTGTGTGTGTATGTGTGTGTGCTTACACACACGTACAAGCCTATTCAAGATGCTTATCATCAAGTTGAGAGATATAAACAATATACTCCAAATTCCAATGGAAACACAGAAAAGCACACAATTGTGTGCCAATTGCATTGTTAGGTTATTAGCACATGCACTTGTACTAAACTCTACCAAGCTTATGAGAAGGTCATTAAATAAGGTAAACATAATGGTAGATGGTGGTAGCACATGCCTTTAATACCCATACTCGGGAGGCTGAGGTAGGTGGATCTCTGTAAGTTCCAGGCCAGCCTGGTCTACAAAGCCAGTTCCAGGACAACCAGGTCTACACAGAGAAATGTTGTCTCATTTTTAATAAAGATGAACGTGTGGAAAGTCATGTGTCAATAACTAACTGGAAAGTAAGCCACTAAAGGCACCCACATGAAGACAGTCTGAATGTGAACTGTGGTGGTGTAATATTCAGGTAAAACACAGATTGTTTTATTCAGATTTGACTTTTATAAACAAAAAGCAAATACAAAGATAGACCATAGTCATTTAAAGTCACTTACTAAGAGCTTAGCAATCGTGAAGTGATAGCTTCTAGTGACAGTACAGATGAGAACTCTCTTAGGTCAATGTGCCAGCCCAGCCCCTGGTGTCATGTTCTGTCTAAGTGAATACTGAGGGAAGGAGGGAACCATCAGGATTGCTGCAACCATGTCAGGCTATCCTCTTAGCTGACAGCACATTCATGTTTAAGTCTCTACTTGGGCAGTCCTAGGCAGCAAAGTAGAGTGAGTCAGCTTGAGGTCATGAGATTGAGAGAGCTGGCCCTGCTTATTGCATTCTGGAAAATAGGCCCAGCACAGTAAAGCTGGTCCTGATTATGTGGGCATAAGAGAACCTACCTGGGGGGGGGGGGCAGGAGATGGGGTGGGCTAGCCTGGGCAAAGGGAGAGACCTGGTCCTGGTGGAGTAGGCAAAGGAGAACTGACAGGCTGATCAACTCAGCCTCCACCCTGGCCCAGATCCAGGGGTCTGAGTTGGCCTACCCTGTCTATGAACTACTGGAACACATGAAGGAGCTGTCCTATAGAACCATAGCTGCAGGATCTCCATGACACAGGACAGCAACAGAATATCTGAGAGGAATCCCAGTGAGGATCCTATATTGATAGTATAGCAGAAGCCAGAGGTTTTGAACCAGACCAATGACTCATTGCAATGAACATTTGCAAGTAAAGATATTTGGGCAAACGGTATACTGCAACTTCCACAGAGAGATTTTGTTGATATTGTTGGGTTGGGTTGGGTTGGGTTGGGTTGGGTTGGCTTGGCTTGGCTTGGCTTGGCTTGGCTTGGCTTGGCTTGGCTTGGCTTGGCTTGGTTTGGTTTAGGGAGAGGTTGCAAAGGCAGAGGGTGAATATGAAGGGACAGGGAGATGAATGGGATTGGGGTATATGATGTGAAATTCATGAAGAATCTATTAAAAAGTTAAAAAAATCTAGATAGAAAAAAGTTGACCAGGATGCTTATATGCTCCACAGGTAAAGCACTGATCATTAGCATAAGGACCTGAATCTCCAGTATCATGTAAAAGGCATCTCTGCTATTCCAGCAATGTGGAAGTAGAGACAGGAGCATCCTGAAATGTACTGACCACTGGCCTAGTGAAACAGATAAGCTTCAGGTTCAGTGACAAACCCTGTCTCAAAAGCTAAGGTAGAATGTAACTGAGGCCCCTGACCTCAACCTCTGGCATCCACCACACCTTCCCACATATACATGCACACCCACATACACACATGAACTCATTGACAAACTGTACACAGAGGCATGTATATGCACAGAGATGTTTTCAAGATTTTTGTTTATGTTTAGAACTGGCATCTATATATAGCAAAGAACATTGCTGGCTCCCATTACAGAGATAACATAAACTGTTTTATACTTTTTAAAAATGGTTCAAATTGAAAAAGCTTAGAGAAATGGCATAAATTGCACTTGGGCATGGTAAAATCTGCAGAAGGTATCTTAAGTGACTAAAATAACTTACACACTGATTCCTGGCCAATGCCTGCCAACACTTCAACCCTAAGTTTTCAGTTCTGTAGACAGGAAGACATCTTACTCAGCCCAAGGAATATAACATACTATTGCTATATCTAGGTAATGGGATAAGATATGGCATAGAGTCTTTTAACAGCATTAACTGGAGTAGTTTGGTGTTCATGGTTCTACAGGACTGGGGTGCCTCTCAGTTCTGCTGGTATCACACTATGGAATCAGACACCATAAGAACCAGTCTGCATGATTGTATAAAACAGCAACATGCAAGTCCAAAGTCACAGTTCTCATCTGGCTGTGTTGAATGACACTGAACAGTGATTCTTGTGTACTGGATGCATTCCTGAGGATTGCTCTGAGCCTGACTAACTTCTCTTTTTCCTGACATTGTTAACAGAATATTTAGGAAATAAATAAGGGCAGTAGATGTTATGTTTAATTTCTAACATGTTTCTCCCTACCTAAGAAAGCTGGATTTAATGTTAAATAAGTAAAAATACAATAATAAAACATGCCTTAAAACACTACACAAGTCATTCACACATGTTGTGGTGTGTGTCTTCTTCATAATTCAGCATGCTGGTGTACTTCTCAACTGACACCCTGACTAACACCTAGGGTGGAAGTAGGAGTCGTCTTGAGGTGTGCCAGGAGTGATGATACCAGCAGGTGAGGTAACTGAGCAAATTGCCTGCTGCCAGCTACATGTTAACTTGTTAAACCAACACTGGCCCAGATTTACCGGCTACACTTTCAAAAACACTTTTACAGTAGGCAGAAAGGAAAATTAGCATTAAAATGGGGGAAAGTGAAGAACCAAAGTTTGGACTAAGAGGCAAGATAGCTCACAGGGGGAGCCTGCTCCTCCCCTGTGTGCCACAAGATCAGCAGAAAATGAAACTCTCATTCTGGGAGTAAGAGGTAGCATTTCCTGACTGACACTTAAAGTGTTTTAGTGCTGTGTGGCTCAAACTTTAATATTTAAATCAACATTTTTTAAAAGCCAAAGTATAAAGAGATCTTATCTAAATTTGCAGTATAAATCGTTTTCTTAAAATCAAACCTTACACTATACCAACTTAACTCACCCTTCAGAAAAAAAATGAATTCCTATAATGAACGTCACCGGCCCATGGCTGCAATGGCCCATGGTTACTTACACGTGTAGGAGTTCTGCTCTCACTGTTAAATAGCTGAAAGCAGCAATCATCTCAGACCCACACTTATGCTTCTAACTCACCTTCTCCAGGCCAGCAGCATGGCAGCCAGGGTCCATGTGGTACTTTCAGGCATTTTAACAATACAACCATCTTGCATTGTATCTATGCTGACATTGTGACAGCCTTAAACTGTCGGTAACCCTTTCAAAGGAAGTTTAATAGCTGGAGAGACATGGCCTAAAATTACTGAAATCCTACCCACGTTATCAGTGCTCACTGCAAGCATTAAATGGACCAAACAAGACGAATTAAAGGGTAAAGGTCTAATTGCACCAAAGAACAATTCCAAATAGTCTGTATACTAAAATAAAACAGGTTGCTCAAGCATCGCACTCTCTGATATGTTCAAACCAGAATCATCAAGCATCTGCTGCATTGTCTACAATGAGTTGATAATTTACAGTTACTATTGGACTCTGGCCTTCCTTAATCATTCTTACTAGAAATTAGAAAACTATCCTTATCCCACAGCATCATTAGAAATACTTATGTCTCATGACATAATTTGGGGCTGGTGAGATGGCTCAGTGGGTAAAGTCACTTGATCTTCAAGACCAGTGACATGAGTTCAATCCCTAGGAATTGCCATGGAAGGAGACACCTGATACCACATATGGGTCCCCTGACTTGCATGCATGTACCTGAGCAGGTATGCATAAGCACAGAGAGTAATACAGATAAAATAAAATCTAAGAATAATTTTTAATTTAAAGATATTATCTAATAGTTTCATTTCAACCAAACAAAACTGTCAAGAAAAGTAACTGTGTTAGAGCAAAAAAGAAAAACTATGTCAAGAAAAAAAAGGCAGGGAAAAGTACCTTCTAGCAACGAAGAGGTTGAGTTTTCAAATATTTATATAAAAATGTCAATATTTTTTGGAGTAGTTAGATATACTTTATAGCTTAAGTGATTGATAGTCATTTGGTGCCACTGAACTGCAGCAGTGGAAGTCAGTCAGAATTCTGCTGTGCCACAATTTCCCCTGGAGCATCACTCAAGATACATTAAGCTCAACTTGTGTTCATTAGACATGTACTTAATATCAAAATGGTCTGCTGAGCACTATCATGATGTTTGGGACTATGGAGAGTCACAGCAGGCAGGCTCTGGAACTGCCACTCTGCACTAACTTGTCCTCTCCTTCCTTAGGCGGGCCCAGGGCATAGCGGTGGTGCTTTCCCAAGCAGATGGAGAGGCAGCAAAGCTGAAGCAAGTAGGGGAGAGGGGTGAACTGACAAGCTCACTCACACTGGCTTTTGGGAGGGGACAATATGGGTCAACTTGAGTTACCTGGTCTTGGTCTTGATCCTAGCCCACCAATGAAGTCCCTGGAAACAGAATCAGACAGGAGCCATTAGGAAAGTTCAATCTAATGATAAACAGTTACTGAGAATTGCATTTTTCTGTATTCAGTAAAGAAAGAAATCAACATTTTTGAATGTAGGATGGACTTCATAATGGTAAACAAACACACCTTGTTCTTCCGGGGATATATCACACACACACACACACACACACACAGAGAGAGAGAGAGAGAGAGAGAGAGAGAAAGAGAGAGAGAGAGAAAGAAAGAGAGAGGTATATTTGCACACATACATATATATACACATACCCATATACATATGAATGGTAGTGTCTCATGTAGCTCAGGCTAATCTCAAATTTGCGTATAGGTAAACCTTGACTGCCTGTGATCTGTTTATTAAAACAACTAATATTAACTTTTTATGTCTTATATTTTCCATGCTTTGTCCTTGAAATGAAAAATAAAAACTAATCACTATATATTTCTATGAGAAGAGATGAATTTATGTTGTAACAATTACTCCTCCATAGAGTATCCACTGCTGTTAACATCTTTCCTCCTTGTCTCAAAATTTTAGATTGCCCGATCATTTTAAAAGTCAGTCCCAAAGCTTTCTTGTGTGTGGAGGTGGCCTTTATCCAAATCAGGAACACTGATGAACAGCCTTCCCTATTACCTTTCGAGGTGGGATCCAAAGCCTATTTTTTAGAAGTTTTCTGAACCCTAATAGGTCACATGATGCCACACGGACCAGCAGGTAGATAGTGAGCACAAGTGAGGAGCACAGTGGGAGTCTGCTCATCAGCCCTGGAGGCGAGGACTCACAGTAAGCTTGGCTGACGGTTGTCTTGCTCCAACCGTTTTATTTCATCACGGATTTTCAGTATTCATTTGTAGCTTGTACCTAAGTTATTATGCATAACAAAGTTGGCATGCATTTACCAACCAGTCCAGTTTAAATGCTAGAAAAATCCCTGAATCTCAGTCTAACAAAGGACTTCTCCGTTTATTCCTTTCTACCTCCTTTTACCACTGACTTCAAACTTTCTAGTTAGACACATTTTTAAAAAGTAGAAAGGTGAGATGAATCTTGTATTTTATTTCATCAAATAGACCCAAAATATCAATATTTTAAATGAATACTACTTATACTGTTTTACATTTAAAGTAACATGGGGTACCTCCATTGTACTTGCCACATTTTTGACTATTCAAGCCAACACATGTGCCCAGCTATCTCCATATTAAACGTGGCAGACCTTTCTATAGGAGGTGTCACTCACCGTCCCTGCTCACTGCTTTAGTCAGGCCATAAAGCTGCTGGGTCTGACGCTTCATGGCTCTCATCACCTAATGGTAAATTAAAATGCAATTTGTGGAAAACTTTCATTTGTGTTTATGTATGGTTTTGAAAGGCTGGCAACATACAAATGGAGCTATCTGGATGGTCATTTTATTGTCCTGAAAGGTCTTTTAAATATTCTTATTAAGTGTATATGCGATAGGACACAGGATCTGTATCTGGCAACTGTACCCAGCTGCTACAGGTTTTGTACTGCTCTGTAGAATTCTAGATTCCTTTTTTTTTTTTTTGTAAGCTTTAAGGTGGAGGCTGGAAAGATGGCTAAGTGATTAAGAGCACATACTGCTCTTGAAGAGGACCTAGGTTCAAGTCCCAGAATATAAGACAGCTTACACTCATCTACAACTCCAAGTTTCAGGAGTTCCAATACCCTCTCCTGGCTTCTGTGGGTACATATAATCACAGATGTGCATAAGTACATACACATATTTAAAAATAAAATAAATCTTAAAATATTAAGCATTAGGGAATGTTTACATAAACATCACACACACACACATACACACACACACACACACACACAACTGTTTTCTTGGAGACCCTGTGCTACACACCAGTAATGAAAAGAAATCATCCTCCTAGTGTCAGCACTTCTAAGGTTACTGTGCAGTATGGCAGAAAAACCATTAATTTTCTCAAAGACAAATCATCAGTTGCAAGAATGGACAGTCATTTGTGACTTCAAAAAAGCATACATCCACTGTGAATAGAAGCCACAGTAATGCCCAGCAATAGATGGACAGATGGTGGAAATGACACAGTGCCTGAGGCAATTCTAGACCGAGGCACACAGGATGCTTATGACCTATGGAGCGTTGTGATTCCAGATGATGACATTCCCACAATAGCTCAAGCTGGCCATGGGGATGATTTAACATGGAGAAGTTTCAGACATATTTTCTGGTGAGAAGACTTAGCATATTGAAGATCCTGTCTAATAAAAGTTTTAAAATGGGCACAAATAGCTCCTGAAGCTGGTGAGAGTAACCATGTCTTAGAGGCTGAAAGGACACTGAAGACCATGACCTCTAGCTGTCCTTGCATCCAGCATGACCTGGTCCACAGCTCATGCCTTGAAGAGTCTGAAGTGATGAGTGGAGATTTAGTCTGCAAGTCCACCCACTCCAGTCAGCGGTAAGGCAGAAAATACAGCCAAATTCCATGGTTTTTAAGATAGATTTTATTCTGAATTGATGCGAGCACAGTGTGAATTGCTTTGGTAATTATTTTGTCAGAAAAGCGTGAATTACTTGGATAATTATTTTGTCATTAAAATCCCAGCCATGAAAGAGATAATGCTCTAGAATTTTCTCTCAAGGAAATCCTTTAACTACATCATCAGAAGCTTGGCTTACAACACTAAGAACATGTCCTGGGAGGTTACTGCAACCATGACATACAAAGTAGCTAGAATTCTCAACATTTATCACCATGACAGCTGTGACAGGGAACTTGACAGGGGTTGGGCTCTTGTGTTTAGTCAAGGTCTTCCCCCACTGCAGTGTTAACAGAGCTGGTATCTCTGTGAGGAGGTGGGACCAGATTCTCGGCTTTCCCTTCAGACGGTACTAATGGATAAAAGCAAACAAGCAATAAGCAGGCATCTTAGAACTGCCATAGAAAAGGGATACCTCTCTCACAGCTACATAGTACTGTTTGTTTTGTGTGGCTAGGAGGACTGATGGGTAGACACTGGCCACGGCCTGTTTGGTTTGGGTAAGCAGTGATGGAGCACACACATTCAATAAAAGTGAAATGAGACCCAGATTATGAATAAGAAGTGGACACAGAATAGCCATAAATAGATAGTGAGATGGGAGGGAAGGATCATGGGTCCTGAGAGAGCAGGAGGGCTCTCTGGTCACATCAGTGAAGCTGCATGGTCAGAAACCTCCACAGTCACCTCTCTCCATGAAAACTGGAGTCAGGAGACACTCTCTAATGAAATCATGCTCACAAAGAAGGTATTCACTGCAGTAATCTCGGACACTGCAAATATCCAATGTTTCAGAGCAGCCAGCCAACTACACCCTGTTGCCTTGGCAACAGAAGGCAAGTAGGCATGGAGAAATCCTGTTGCCTAAGAAACAGAATTTTAAAAAAAAATGGGTCTTAATCTATGGCTAACACTATAAATTAATTCAAGGACGTGAATAAGGTTTCAGTCTTTTACAGTAAGAAAGAGAAATTGCAATGAGGTAATTCATTAATATACTAATACTAGCATCCAACAAACATCTGTGCATCAGCATCTGTATGCAGCATGCCGTACCAGGAGAGTAAAGTAGAGCCCATACACAGTTCAGACTAAGCCTGGCATACCGTAATAAATGGCCATAACATGAGAAGATAACTGTCATCTCTTTTGAATGAATCACTGCTGATTAGGTCTTCCCTGTAGATTGCCTTTAAATAGACATATCTTGAAGTTATGTTGATCCCAGGAGGCTTGGTCCCATAAGCTAACTGCCCCAGTCACTCAGCATATTCTGCGGCTATTTCTGCCTCTAGAGCTTCTGAGACTACTACAGTCAGCCTTTGAGGTTCCCTCCATCCTCACCCAAGACCACCCAAACTGTTCTCCTAACTATCTTGGGACTTGCAAAGGCCAAATCTAATAGTTTGGTTTTAGTTCTTACCCTAAGAGGTTACTGTCAGAGATAACTAATGGCCCTTAAAAGTTTCTCCTTTCTCTTAAAAAAGAATGCATATATATGATATAAATCAGATAGTGTATACATCATACATATGACTATATATATATGTGTGTGTATATATCATATACATCATATATAAATTATATATAATCATATACAATATATACACACACACACACATGTAATCACTGTCCTTCTCAGCTGGTTGTGGCTATATAAAGGAGTTCTGCCTTTATGTGTGAGCAGGAGTCACACGCACACTCTGGGAGGGGACAGATCCTAAGGAGGAAGTGTGTGTCCCTCACCTTGCCCACATTTGCCATGGATTGGGTCACACATCCCTGTCTTAAAGACCCATTGTCTCAGGTACCCTCATTGAGCACAGCTATTCCATTGTCTTGGTCCAGTGTATGCTCAGAGAGACTGGTTGTTTGAATGTCACAAAACCAGAAGGCAAAGTACACTGTGTCCAGGCTGAGGCTTAGCACCCTTCAGCAGACTAAGCAGCCATAGGTTCCAGCTATGGGAGGCAGGAACTATCAGTTGCTATGTCCACATGTCCAGAATGACTTCTGTTAGTCATGGGGCAACTTAGCTCCAAGTGGCCCAGCGCTGTCTAGACTAAATACACGTTTAAGTCCACTGCTCCTCAAAACAACATACCTTGCCTGTGAGTGCCTTTCTTTTCCCGAAGCACTGAAACTTCTCTTTAAAATGCCTAAAACAAGAAAACAGAAATAGCTGTAAATTACTGCTTCAGAAACTGGTTTTTATTGTTGTTGTGTATTGCTTGTGTTCAGTGCTGGGGAGAGAGTCCAGGTCTGGTGTATACGAGGCCAGTGCTCAGCCACAAGCTGCATTGTGGCCTTCAACACCCCTTTTCTAAAGGGCAGAGGTTCTACTGTCCTAGCAATTTCCTCCGCTGTAATGACCATTTTTGTTCTTGACAGTATTACCTTGCATATACTGTTAAAAATTACTATGTACTAGTCAGTTCTTCTGTCTCGGCAGTTGTTCTTCACTGTAACCACCATTACTATGCACTTAATCTGTTATTGTAAGGTGTTTTTCTTCCAAAGGAAAGATACTAAACAGAAGATTGCTATTCGACAAGACAGCATGCCTGCATCACTTTCACCCTCGAGCCTGTGTGCGGACCTTTCTGTGTCAAGGTCTGCCTCTCTTGCTGCCCCCCTACTGTGTATCTCCAGCACTGTCTCTAGAGATAAGACCACCATTCTCATCACCAGAGCAAGGAAGTGCTTCCAGAATGTGCTGCACATTTACATGCATCAAGACTTTCCCCTGCATGTGAGAAAGTCATCTCCTTACCCAAATACAAACCGAGGCAAGAGCTTTTAGGAAATACAGAACAAAGAATAGGACATTGTGAGTGTTCCAGAAAATCTGTAAGCTCTAGTCAACATTTTGATAGAGTCATTATATAGAGAGAAGACAAAGACTGTGGCTAAATCCTTGGCACTCCACATGGATCTTCAGGAAGACTATTTTCTGCCTTCTTCCCTGAGGTTTTCATAGCATAACCACTGAGGAGACAGAATTATTTTTACTTCACTTATTTTAAAGTATCTCTAGTTAGAAGACTTAAATCCAGTTAATGTGCTCTTCTGAGATATTTATCTTTTTCTCCAATTCTATTTTAACATTTCTTTCAGTTTCGTGTCTGCCAAGTTGACTTGATCCTATTTTTTCCATAGTCTTTAAATTCTATCTAAATATATCATTTTATTTTCTGTCCTACTCCTCAATATGTTTTTAATTTTTTTATTATTGTTTCAAGTTCAGACTAATATTGGGCTGGCTTTACATATGGTATTTTTCATAGTCCTAGGTGGTTAAGATATTGATTTTACTTTAGGTGCACAAAACATATCATTGCAATGCTTGAGATCATTCATTAGCTTGATGCATTCCAGAGTCACCTGGGAAGAGAGTCTCAGATCAGCCTTAGTCAGGTTGGCCTATGGGCATGCCAGTGAGGGATTTTCTTAATTGGGTTAACAAGGTATGCCTGTGTGGATGACACATTCCCTGGATTTGGGACTGGACTGTGTGCGTATAGAAAGTGGCCTGAACACCAGCAGTGTGCACACACATTTACGTCTCCCTGCTCTCGGCTGCGGGTGTGATGTGACTGAAGTCTTTGCCTCCTTGACTCTCTGCTATGATGGATGGTAACCTGGAGCCATGAACTAAAATAAACCCTTCCTCCAGTAAGTTGCTTTTGTCAGCGTTTTATCACAGTGACAGAGATGAAACAGGAGCATTGAGGGTGGAAAAAAAAAACTGCACCAAAGTTAGTCTGCACCATGGCTAATTTCTCTCCTAAGTTTCCTTTTCCTCTAACCCATGGACTGATGAGATGCCACATCCATCATTTCTAAGGTGGTTTGGCTATCTGCAGCCTAATCATTTCAGCTCCCTACTCACGGTCTGCGTTGTCTGGTAAAAAATGAAAAAGCACGCCCTTGCCTGGTGTCTGGCCTCTGGCTTTACCCACAAGAGTGCTGCACCTGAGACAGGAGCCCCAGACTCCGTCTACCCTCTCTCTCCCATGGCCATGCTCACTGCAGTCCCACAAAGGCAGACTTGTACAGCAAGCTTACTGAATGTGGACTCCTTTAGGGGGCTCGAACTGGAGCTGCTACAGTTGTCCGAGACGTCCAGCTCATCATCTAGCTCAGAATACACGTCTGCATGTAGAAAAAAAGAAGAGAGTGAGTCCAGCAGCAGAAGATCCCCCAAGCCTTCCTGCCGTCCCCTTGTCCAAAGCACACCCACCTTTCTCCACACTATCCAGCTGGAAGTTGTCCTCTGACAGCACCTCCTCGCAGACCCTGTCCTCCTCCTTCCCGCAGGGGAGGTGGCAGCCCTCTCCAGGTAGCTCTGCACTCTCAGAAAGCTCACTTTTCAGGCTGGCTGCTCCGCTGCTGCTGCTGCTCAGACTTGCCTTCTCAAAAGTCTCCTGGAAGGAGAATTCTGGTCTTGAGCACCTCATCCTCTCTTTTCTCTACAGCAACCCACACTTGTTACTATGGGCATGTCGGCGTCTAAGATATCATTGCGAATACTTAATGCAGAAGAAATACCTTCAACCATGGGGCCCATTTAATCCATAACAAGAAGTAAATCTAAAATCAACCAACTAGCAAAAAAGAAAGAAAGGAAAAGAAAAGAAAAAAGAAAGGAAAGGAAAGGAAAGGAAAGGAAAGGAAAGGAAAGGAAAGGAAAGACTGGAGGCAAGTGTGCCCACACCAAAGGCCTGTGAGAACTAGTGAACTAACAGTATCTCCAAGAACAGAGCTCAGGGGCCACTTTACCAGAAACCTCTCCCCTTTGAGCCTTTTCTCAAATATTTGCAATGGCATCTGCTCAGTCCCATATCAGCTAAGAGGTTTTCCAAAGAACATTAGTAGCAGTCAAGCCAGGCCATGAGGAACGAGCAATGACATGCCCTACAAGGGGAGGGGACAGTAGTGATGAGAACCCTGTCACTCAAGGCTCCAGCTTCTCTCTTGTAGAACTAAACACAAGCTCCTCCAGAACTTTCTGAGAGGATGAAAGAGGTTGACTGTGAGACCACACCTAAGTCATTCATCTGGCCCAGGGCCTCAATATTCTGCTACACTGTATTATAAACCATATGCAGTATGTCTCAGGTTCAATAAGAATAAAGATGTTAAATGACACAAAAGGCTGGCAGCTTAGGGTTGTCAAAGCAGATAACTCTGAAAAAGGGACCACCCAAGTAATTCACAATACCAAAGACACTTTCTGTGTGGACCCATTTCCAGCAAGTGTAAAGAGCTGCCTGGGCTGTTGGCCAAAGATCAGCAGCAGAGCTAAGATACAGAACAGGGGCACAAATGGAGAAGCCATTAAAGAGATCAGGCTCCAGGCAGAAGAGTAAGAAGGACAGATGCTGTGACACTGGAGAGAGAAGCCTTCTGGTGACCTGTCAGACGCTGTTCTCATGAGTCTATCATTGCTTAGGTACTAAGATGCCCAAAGCGAAGCAAGTCTTCTTGTAAGGCTGGTATGTGTTTACCTGCTAATTTTTCACAGATTTCCCTACAATTCAAGCTGCACTCTTAGGCTTAAGGGGCAGGTTGTTGAGAATCCATTGGTGCCAAAATTAATAGAGGAAGAAAACTCAAGGTCTTATGGTATTGGATTAGTAAATCAATGATAGCATTCATGTGCTTGTTACCTCGGCAAGACATCTGTGCACTGAAAATAGTCTGTCCAGCAGGACATGTGTGCAGTGCAAGCTGCCTGCCCAGCAGGACATGTATGCCCAGAAAGACATATGTGCACTACAGACTGCCTGCCCAGCAGAACATGTGTGCTCTGCAGACATGTGTGCCCCGCAGTCTGCCTGCCCAGTTGCTGTCTATTATCATACCCTGGAGTCTTTTCAGCAGTCTTTTCCTCAGGTTCACCAACTCTTATTTCGTTGAAGTTAATATGTGAGTTAAAGAAACACACTTCTCATATGATTTTCTGTAACTAGTCTTCCAGTCATTGATGTCCAGTGTGCTTTTATGAGCCTGGGTTAATTCCTCCATTGCTTAAAAGATTTCTAACATCTCTGCTCTGCCCATATCTAGTTTCTGATCCAAACCTATCACCATCTTCTAAGACCCAAAATTTTACTCAGAATTCTCTGTCCTGGCTCTCTTTCTTCCTCTAAACAAACACACAAGATTCTGCTTCTTCTAACTTTACCCAACTGTTATCTAGGAGAAACTGTCCTCGAAATCAACACCTTACTTTCAGCTTTGTGCTCGTGACCACATCAATCTAAATAAGCTGTCATCTCCCGCTGCATTGCAAAGACCAACCCTCGGCACTTCAGACCCTTCTAAAGACTACCCAATATGTGTCAATACTGAGAAGAGGTTTGGGGTATAGATGAGGGATAGAGTTCCTTCCTCTCATGATCAAGGTGAGTCCAGTCCACAATACGATAGCACATATTGAGACCTTTTCTTATGACATCAATGGAATTAGATGTGGGGATCTGCAAATTCTGCAGCAAAGGGTTTTGTCTGTGGCCAGGGCTAGAGGGGGAGAATCAATAAAACCAAAGCAAGTAGTGAGGACCCGTGTTGGACTCATCACGTTGTGTACTAACCTAAAGAAAAAGAACATAAAGAAGCTAATTCTGAAAACCAGGAGACCCACACCATCCAAATCAAAGTTGAGAGAAAAATAGCAAGGCTGAGGACTTACACAGCCCAATTTCAGCACTGACAGTGCAACTGCTCACACACAAGCAGAGCTTCAGGCAGGAAGAAAGGCAGTCCCATAGGCTACCCAGAATGCTACAGAATACTGTGTCCTGAAAACTTCTGAGAGAGGTGAAAACCTGATAACTACTCTGTGGGGCAGTGGGCTATAAGAAAAGGCCAGAAACCTTGGGAGAAAGCTCTGAAGCCCCGGAAACCTTGGTCTGAAGAAGGCCAGTAGGACGGGAGGCCGCTTCGAACTTTCCCAAAGCTATCTGGCTCTCTTAGCTTCTGCTCCCCACAGCCCCTCCCACAGAGAGGTCCATGGCCTTTGATCACGTAGAAATACCACCTTCATGCAAATAAGGCATTCCCAAGCTCTCAAACCAAACCAATAGGGGTTGCCTGCTCTCCCCCAAAAAACTGTATATATTACCCAAAGCTCAAAAGTAAAAGAGATGTGATGTGGATGTGAGATCTTTCATGCTGTCGGAGACTTTTATCGTGGTTCCTCCCCCACTGCCCGGCTAGCCCGCGCACTTCAAAGAGCTGTTACACTTTTCCCTCTCCGCCGCCCGCCCGCAGGGAGAGGAAGCAAAAAGAGCTGTAATACTCGCCCACCTTTGGAGGCTGGAGCAGAAGTGGACCTTCCAGCTCGCGGCTGCGACCCGCCTGCGACCCGCCTGCGCCCCCAGTGAGCTTTGACCCACATCCTCAGCTGCGGTCTGCGCTGCTGAGTCCCACCGGGAAGTGCCAGTGCCCGGGCAGCCGCCTGTGCCCCCACACTGCCCTCCATGACCCCTGCGACCCCCGCACGAGCCCTGCCCAACACTACTCTACACAAAAAATATATTTTCTCATCATAAACATTCCACAGTGAATACTTTTCAATGTAAGATAAATATGTACAAAAAGTGTCAACCATGACCAAGGCACTGAGTTTATGATTTCAAAGGGTTAGAGTCCATGATAGTGGAACAAAGGCATGGGAGAAGGATCAACTGAGAGCCCACCTTGTGATCCACAAGCAAGAGCCAGAGTACACTGGGAATGGCATGAGTCTTTTGGATCCTCAAAGCCTGACCCCAGTGATACACTCACTTCAGCAAAGCCATACCTCCTAGTGCTCCCCAAACAACCACCAACTGGGGATCAAGTATTGGCCACTTTATTGAAACCACCATCTTCTTTATCCTGCTCTAGGGACTGTTAAACAATATATGGTTGGAAAGCTAGCAGTTTGTTTTTGGAGGAAAGCACACTACTACTCATGACCGAGAAGTTCTATTTCAAGTTATTACCTAAAAGAAATAGAAACATATCCACAAAATGTCTCATGTCATAAAGTTCATACCAGTCTTGGCTAAAACATTCCAATTTTGGAAATAATTATTCTATAACATGACAATGAAATGTGTCAGGCATTTATTTTATACATAAGTAATATATGTGTGTGTGTGTGTATGTATATATGTATTATAGTATACAGTTAATATACAATTAAATATATAAATAAAAATTAATAAATCAAAAAATAAAGTGAGTTAGGATACAACCTAATACAAATAGAACTAATATACATAAGATGGTGAACTCCTGTAGATATGGCTAGAATCCATAAGTTAGATGTGTATGAAGTCCACAAACCTGCAGCCCCAGCCTCAGTTAGGAGTTATCTAAGGTGGTGTGGGGGAGCTTTTAGATGAATGTGTACAGAATTGTGTGTGGGTAATGATTGTATGGGTCGAAAGCCAGTAAGCTCAGCACATAAACACACTAACACTATGTATATGTAAATTATGCTGATTTTAAGGGGAAGGCTGGATGAGAGAATTGTATCTATTTGGAGAGAGTAGAGCTGCTGAAAGACTAGTTTTCTTAAAACTTAATAACCAAAGAACATTTCCCAACAAGCCGAAATTTCCTAATTTCTAATATTTCTTTCCCAACATCATTGCTTGTTGCATTTTTGGGGCCTTGGGAGAAATTCAGTCAGCAATTAACCAGACTATAAAAGCAAAATTGTTCACCAAAACACTGTCCTTTTAAAATACATTATTTTCTGCATGGCTTAATTTAATCTTTTAGTGGAGGATTCTAGACACAAGCTTTTAGCAGTAGGCTCAGCATTTGTGAATGACATATGGTATAATAAAAACAAGGCAAATGGATAAATAAATAGAAAATTTTAAAAGTCCAAGTACACTAAAATAAAAAAAGAACATCCAGATGCTTGCATACTCTTCATTTAAGCATCCCACTGTAAAGATATCTGATAATTTAAGGGGAAAAAATCAGATTGGACCTCTGTCAATAAAGTATTCTAAGACATAGAACACATTGTGCTAGAAAGCTATCATCAGAATCCTATCATGATGTGAGTTTGTGAAAGACTCATGATTTTTAAAATGATGTTTGCTGCTAATTCGTACACCAGCTGCTCTGCTCTCCAAGTGGGATTTAAGATGTTGCTCCAGGATGACATAGTTAAGCTGCCTGACAGTACCACATTATCATAAACACCCCAATTAGGTATTTGAGTAAAGCCTGTGTTAGTAGAAATACAGGAGCTTTAAGAAAATCTAATTGCAGTCAGAGAATATGGGAACACTTCAGAACAGCCCAAGACCACCACAATGCTTCACTTGCTCTGGACATTTATCAAAAAGCCCACAAAAGCCAAGGCCTAGTATGCTTTGGGCACTATGGTACCACCACCACTGCCTACAGTATT